ATTTGGTGTTACGAATGAATGACTAAATATTTGAATGTTTAATAAAATGAATAAATTTATTTGAGTCGGTTTGTTTCATTGAAAGTTTAATGGCGTTATTGTGAAAAACGCGCATTCACGTAAAGTGAATTAACTGTGTTTGTATCTGAAAAATATTGCAATTGTAATATATCGTAACAGTTTTGGAGAGGAATTTGAGAATTAGTCTATGGAAAACGCAAAAATTTATATTTCATAGATGGAAAATTGTATTGTATTTGTAATTTTTTGTTATAATTGCTTGAAGGAAATGTAGATTTTGACGGTGTTTGATGGTTTTAGAAATTTTTCAGTTTTGTGGTGATTGTGAGAAGCAATAATTCTTTTCACATTGATGTATACGGTATTTTATGTGATGTGAAATCGAGAAAATCGCTTTAAAGTCGAATTTGAATGGCATAGCGTGTTTTTTGAGTGAAATTCATTGAAATGTTAGGGTGATTTGTTAAGTGAGTGGATGATCAATAGGATTACTTTATCTTGCGATTACTTTGCGACATGTCTGTCTCATCAATAGGATTATAGAGTAAGATTGCTTAATTTGCATGCTAAGGTAGGTCTGTGCTGCGTTTTATAATATTAATGAACAAGATCATGTTATAGTGTTCAGGTAAGACGACTGCTTAAAATTGAATTGAAAAGATGTCGAAAAGAAAAGTGCTTTTGATGGGTAAGAGTGGCTCGGGTAAGACATCGATGCGCTCGATAATATTCGCGAATTATATCGCTCGTGACACCAGTCGTTTGGGACCGACAATGGAAGTGGAACATGCACATGTCAGGTATGTTAAGCATGAATCGCAATCGAATCTCGATCAATACGATAGTTTCTCGGTCGGTGAGGTGGTATAAGTGATTGTGAAAAAATTTCGAGGAGAAATCGAAATCTGACATAATTTTTGAGTCGTTTTCTCATATAGAGAATATATGGTTCATGAGAACTGATAATTCTAACAACATGAATAGTATTCTTCCTGTATAAAGTTAGTAGCTTTTAAGATTTTATTGTTTGGTGTTAGGTATAACCAGTGAAGAAAATATCATTAGAGATGAACGTTTTAGGAGAGGAATATAGATGTTATGTCCATTATTAGCGTTTTTATTGTAGCGATTTGAATAATGATAGTGTAGGTGTTACGATTTTTAGGTTTCTGGGAAATTTGGTGCTTCATCTGTGGGATTGTGGTGGACAGGAGGCGTTCATGGAGAATTATTTAGCATCACAAAAAGATCAAATCTTTAAAAATGTTCAGGTTTGTGTTGTGAGCAGAAATTTTTTACGTTTTTTCCAAGTGTTTCTAATTTTCATGGGAATTGTTATTTTTCGAGGGGATGTTATTTTTCGAAACATTGATTTTTTTCAAAATACAGAGAATATTTCCGAATTTTCAGGTGCTAATCTACGTATTCGACGTTGAAAGTCGTGAGTTGGAAAAAGACTATCGCTATTATCAGTCGTGTTTGGAAGCGTTACTTCACAATTCACCAAATGCGAAAGTTTTTTGCCTCATTCATAAAATGGATCTTGTCTCGGAGGAACATCGAGATCAAGTGAGTAGTGCCAGCAGTAAATTTCTATCTTTAATTCTCCTTTTTTCTCAGTATATTTTCGTCATTGGATTTTTTATTTTCCATTTTGGAAGTTTTTTCTTCGATTTTTCCCAATTAGGGAGAGGGAGGAGGAGGGAGGGTAGGGGTTAAGGTGAGAGGAGTCAATAAAGCAGAGTAAAGCTCATTGTCTGTGGAAGCAGCAAATGCTTAACGCCCATTTTCGAAATCGCCCAATTTCAAGCTAATATAACATGACTGTACGCGTCTTCATTGCGATACTTATCAGTTTCGAAACAGTGCATATTTCTGCGTTCCAAATAGTACATATTACATAACGATGTCTTGTTGTAAGAAGGTTGTGGAAAGGGTGCGATGCTCTTTTCGATATTATTATACGTTGGTCATAATCGTAATGAGCGGAATGATTGTTGTTTTTTAAGTAATAATAACGAATACCAATAGTGAATTTTGTATTTTGGGTTGGTAAAATCAAAATGGTATTTCCTTCACATTTGCAGTTGAATAGGCTACTTAGTTAGAGCACAGCAAGAAATGTTCGTTCGAACGAAATGCCGTTGTGTTTTTATCAGCCTGAAATACAGCATTACCACGAATAGCAATAATGAAGAATTGTAATTGTAGTAATGAGAAAAGTATTCGTTAAGGTATTCGAAGAGAAAGAACGTGACATATTAGCGCGTTCACAAATTGAAGCCGATAAATTCAATCGAACAAACGCTGTATGCCAATGCTTCCGTTCATCAATTTGGGATGAAACGTTATACAAGGTAATATGAATTTATTTTTGGTGGAATGATAATAGTAGTAATATTGATGGTGATTAGGGTGGTGATAATAATGGAGTGATAAAACGATCTTGTCAATGATTAGGGCGAATTTAGTTTTGAGTATGATTCGAGGGAGTTGAATCTAAAATGTTTGTAT